CCGCCCTTCGCTTGGTGGCGCGGACCCGCGTGTCCTCACTGGATCGCGGGGGCCGGGACGATGACCCTCGGGGACTCGCCAGGTCCCTCGTCCACGTGCACCTTAACCCGGACCGACAGACGGCTGCAGACATAACAGCTGCGTTTTCGCTGTTGCTGAGGCTGTTCCGCACGCTGGTCACCCCACCCCAGCGTGAGGCGACTCACCGGACTCGCTGCGGGAGGGCAGGGCGTAGGGCGGTGTCGGGGGGGGGGGGGGAGACCCTGGCCCGTGTCCCCTTCTGAATGTGCCCGGGGCAGGGTGTCCTCGGGGACACGTTGAACCTACTTGGGAACGATTTGTAAGTTGCCTCCATCCTTTGAACCCGCACTGCCCCCTAAGGTAGGTCCTGGTCGAGTCTGGTTCTAGTTAAGGAAACAGTGACAAACGAGGTCTTCCAAGGTCACACCCGGGAGATGGCAGAACCGAGCAGCCGCCTGCCCCCAGGTGCAAGCTCTTGGCCCTTCCTCCCTCCTCCACTGAAGTGCAGCGCAGCCCTCTCCTGCTTCCAGCAAAGGGACAGGAGGCCCAGCAGCAGAGCACAGCAGACACCTCTGACCACCCACCTCCAGGGACAAGGGGAGGGCCCAGTGCAGGCAGATGTCATGCGCACCCACCGCCACAGTGGGGGCTGCTAATGCCGGCCCACTTGGAAAATGCCCCCAACCCACAGGCTTCAGTCGCCTCTCCGTGTTGCTTTAAGGCATCTCAGTCAAGTAACTTCTAATTAACATGCAAACTCAAAGGAAAACGACAGAAAACCCAGGGACACAGCCTGAGAAAGCATGTCCAGCTTCAGGATGTTGTGGTTTGTTGTTTTTTTTTAACTTTTTTTTTATTTAAATAAGGAGAATTCTTTCATATGGAAAGAGTTAGTACAATCACATATTTGAAAGGAGAAACAATAGGTACTGGACCGGAGGGAAAGGGCAAGGGGTGAGTGTGCCACCAGCCTGGTGAACCCATGATTCCATTTCCCATCCAAGGCAAAAGCTTCCCCAAAATAATGTATGAACAAGCTGCACATTACACCTTCAGCCATCGCCTGCCCTTTCAAATATCTGGTCTATATGAAAAGACAAACAGAGGAAAGGCCAAAATAAAAGGAAACAAAATCCCTCTCAAGAACAAAAAACCCCAAACCCTTTTCACTACGCAAGGCATGAGGTCCGAAGCTTGCAGCACAGGATCCCCTGGGAGGCTGTGCAACATGCTGAAGACAGGGCCCTGGGGACGCTGCTACCATCCTGGAGGCCACCCAACCCGGGGGAGGAACTGAACGGCAGGTCGGATGCGCCTGGAAGGTCACTAGCCAAATACGCGCTGGTGGTCCGAGTGGAGAGCTCGGCGGGGGACAAACGGTCTGACCCCCACGCTGGGCCGTTCCTGTCCTGGGTGATCTGTTAGGTCCATCTCATGCCTTCAAACCGGAAGGGCTGGCTCTCTGAAGTCTGCACGTCCCACTCATCACAGAGCACGACAAAGCACAAATACTCGTCTCCTTGGTTGTCAAAGGCCACTTCCCACCGACCTTCCTACCCAGGCTTGCTCTGCAGGTGAAAGGAACAAGTCCAGATGAGAGGCAACACGCAGCTACTTGGTGGAGGGGAGCCGGTCTGCAGGGAGGAGCTGTACCATTTGCCCCATGACCTCACACCTGCACGCCTTTCCTCCTCGGCTCTGAGCATCAGTCACAAATCTCACCAAAGATCCAGGAGCAGGTCCGGAGGCGAGGGCCTAGCCGGAGCACGGACGCCGGCTGTAGCGAGATGCTCAGTGTTCTGAGAAGTGGCTGGAATGACCACAGTTTGAAAGCGGGCAAACCCATTTTTCTGAAACGTGTCAGTCATCCTCTGTTTTTCCCTTAAGGAACCTAGAGCCAGAAGTGTATGAATTCCAAGTTTGCAAACAATAGTGTGGACAGAAGGGGTGAGTAACGGTAAAGAAAACCAGACCAAACAGCTGGCAAAGAAATCTTCAGTGGGTGGACGCCGCCTCTCAGACACACGACCCCACACGCTGGGATTTTACTCCACCGAGCAGTTGACACTGGACGGACGCTACATCAGGCTCCTGGTGCGGAGCGGCGGGCTGCACCATCAACAGCCGGGCAGAGCTGCCAGCATCAGAGGGTGACTGTGACGAGCAGGCAAAGGTGCATGAGGGCGTGGACACCACCCCCATCTCAGCAGCAGAAAAGGTAAGTTTGGGTTTTCACCTGTTCCCACCAAAGGCCCCAAAACACCCTGGCAGAGGCCTCTGCGTGGTTATGCGCTCTGAAGAGGGGGGTTTGAAACCAAAACAAGACCCAAAGTCCTACTACCTTGAGCTTAGCTCTAAAACCACGAGAAAGGAAGAGATTGCACCTTAAAACATCTCTGCAGTAAAGACTGCATTTAATCAGACCAAGGAAGGGATGGGGTGCCAGCAGGCCCGGGCCTACCCTCTGCCCGAGTCCAGCTGGAAATGTCTCGGGGGGAAGCGCCCGCAGCTGGGCACACGAGGCGGAGAAAGCACTGAGGGTCACATGCAGCTCCTGGCCTTCCTGCACAGGTCAGACGCATCTATAAATAGCGCAGTGGGACACTTCCTTCCTTCACCTAGACCTACAACAATACATATAAATAAATCCTAGTGTTTTCTGTTTTATTGGGGGGGGGGGGGGGGAGTAGAAAAAAAAGGGCAGAGAAAAGGGCTGGAGAGCAGGTGACCCCGTGTTTTTATTTTTCCTCAAACAAGCACTGTCGCTGTCAGGATCACCAGGAGGGCACACCTTGAGTTTGTTCCGTGGAGCCTCACAATGAGAAAACCTTTTTTGCTTTAGACAAGCAGCGGACCCCAGAATCAGGTGGGAGGGTCTGGGCGGGTTCCCAGGTGTTCAGGCAGCGAGCGTGTGGCTCCTGCAGGGCAGCGGGCGATGGGGGCAGCGGGGAGTGGGGCAGGCAGCAGCTCTCGTGGGGGGGGAGGGCAGAGCAGATGAGCGCATGGGGCAGGAGAGTGAGGACAGGACTCCAGAGTAAAGATTCAGGAGATGAAGGGAAAAGAGAAGCCAGTGAACAGTGAGGTCCGAGGATGGAGGCGAGGGGGTGCGGAAAGCTACCAAGTGAGCATAAAGCTCTTCCCAGGAAACTGGCCTCCAGGGCGCGAGACGGGAGCTCTGCCAGGTGGTGTCCCGTCCTTAAAGCTGTCATCACAGCACGAGCTGCTCCAGCAGCCCAAGGGCCCTCCCTCCCGTGTCCTACCCTGGACAGAGCTGAGAAGCAGCCTGAGCAGCCGGCACACACCTGCAGGGACACGGGCGGAGCCAGGTCCCCTGGGACCAGTGGCAGTGCCCTCTCTGTAGGTGCTGCTTAGTTCCTCGAAGGGCCTGTGCAAAACTCGAGCCTTCCCCTCCCTTTCCTCGGAATGACAGAATCTGGGGCGATTCTAGTTCTTAAAAAACAACAAAACGCAGTGTGAAATGGCTCACACGAGCATTTTGCTGGAGGCAGCTCTGCAGACTTGGGTGGCTGCCCAGGCCGTTTCAGAACCATGGCCAGCCCTGCAACACAGCCTCCCCCTTGGACCTGCCCACGGCTGGAAAGGCTGACCTCACTGCTCAGCTCAGGTGCCCTGTCCCGCCACCTGGGCCTGCTGCTGGGAGGGGAGGAGCAGGAAGCCCTGCAGGAAGCGCGGGGCTGCAGGAAGGTGGAGAAGGCTTCCGGAAAGGGCGTGAGTGAAACAGCAGCCCTGGGTGCCGGCGCCCTCGAGCAGACGCGGGAGGTGGGGCGGGGGCCGTGGTGCTGCCTGCTCACACGTCAGGCCAACTTGGGATACACCAGTGACTGTGTCCGCGCTTCACCGCAGGGCCAGCGGCCAGCACGTCCCTGGCTTTAGACTCCGGGACAGAAACCCTTCCGTAAACCCCAGCTCACGGGCTGCCTGTGGGCTCCGGAGCGCAGCCGGACACCGGGTGCTCGTGCGGTGCCTTGTGTGGCCGCAGAGGCTAACCAACGAAGAGCAGGAGGGCGTCTCACAGCGATGCGTCAAACTAAACAGGAGGGGAAGACGCTACCGGACAAGGGGTCGGGGAGCTGGCGAAGAGCATATAAAAGTTCAGCTG